GTTATAAATTTTGGGGGATTTTTGGGGTTTAAAAGTGGGGGATTTTTTGAAAAAATTTGGGGTGGAATTTCCCCCAATCTCCGGCCCCTAATCCCACCCAAACCCTTTCCCCCTGCTTTCTGCCAGGTCCACAGTTTCTCAGCCATGTGCCACTTTTTGGGCTCCCCACATGCTTTTGTTTAATTTTTGGGCATAGGGTGCTGGCAGATTATGGGCCCCCCATAGCTGCTTTCCCGGCCCCTTTAAACTGCCATAGGCCCCCCATTTAAAACCCCCTCCTCATTTCTTTCTTTCCAGGTCCAGAGGCTCTCTTTGGGGCCCCGTAAAGGGCCCCCCCATTGCTGCTGTCCCCCCATCGCCACACTCGGGCCGTGGGCCCCCCTTTTAGGGCTCCCCCAAAACTGCGGGGTGTAGAAAAATTTTTTTACATAGGGTGCTGGCAGATTTTTTTCGGGCCTTTCCTTTTAGCTTCTGCCAGGGCCCCAAACTGCCTTAAAGGGCCCCTAATACCAGACCTCCTCTATGCTGCTGCCCAGGTCCAGAGTCTCTCATGGGTCCTCTGTACGGCCTTTTCCCCAGTGCTGCTGTGGTCTCCATCGCCACACACTCTGCTTGCGCCCACTTTTCAGGTCTCCTCACACTGCTGGTTGTGTTAGTATATTTTTGACAATAGTGTGATGGCAGATTACGGGCCTCCTAAGAGCTGCTGCCAGGCCCCTAATCTTGCCATAGGCCCCTATATACCGCCTCCTCATGGCTGCTTTGCCGAGGTCCAGAGTCTCTCAGTGGGGGGTCCCTGTACGGCCTCCCATTGCTGCTGTCTCCATCGTCCAACACTCTGCCATGTGCCACTTTCAGGTCTCCTCACACACTGCTGGTCGTGTTCAATTTTTGACATAGGGTGCTGGCAGATTACGGGCCTCCCATAGCTTGCTGCCAGGGCCCCTAATCTGCCATGGGACCCCTATATTGTACCGCGCTCCCTCATGCTGCTTCGGTAGGTGTTTTGCGGATGGGTTGGTTTTCCATGCTGCTGCCTGTTCCCATGCTGTGCTCCTCGCCACACTCTGCGCCATGTGCCACTTTCAGGTCTCCTCACAGTCACACTGCTGGTGTGTTAAATTTTTTGACATAGGGTGCTGGGCAGATTACGGGCCTCCCTATAGCTGCTGCCAGGCCCCTAATCTGCCATAGGCCCCTATACCGCCTCCTCATGCTGTGCTGCCATGTCCAGAGTCTGTCATGGGTCCCTGTACGGCCTCCCATGTGCTGCTGTCTCCATCGCCACACTCTGCCATGTGCCACTTTCAGGTCTCCTCCATCACTGCTGTGTGTGTAGAATTTTTTGACATAGGGTGCTGGCAGATTACGGGGCCTCCCTATAGCTGCTGCCAGGACCCCTAATCTGCCATAGGGGCCCTATATACCCGCCTCCTCATGCTGCTGCCAGGTCCCCAGAGTCTGTCATGGGTCCTGTACGGCCTCCCATTGCTGCTGTCTCCATCGCCACACTCTGCCATGTGCCACTTTCAGGTCCTATGCTGGTGTGTAGAATTTTTTGACATAGGGTGCTGGCAGATTACGGGCCTCCCCTATAGCTGCTGCCAGGCCCCTAATCTGCCATAGGCCCCTATATACCGCCTCCTCATGCTGCTGCCAGGTCCAGAGTCTCTCATGGGTCCCTGTACGGCCTCCCCATTGCTGCTGTCTCCATCGCCACACTCTGCCATGTGCCACTTTCAGGTCTCCTCACACTGCTGGTGTGTTAGAATTTTTTTGACATAGGGTGCTGGCAGATTTACGGGCCTCCTATAGCTGCTGCCAGGCCCCTAATCTGCCATAGGCCCCTATATACCGCCTCCTCATGCTGCTGCCAGGTCCAGAGTCTGTCATGGGTCCCTGTACGGCCTCCCATTGCTGCTGTGTCTCCATCGCCACACTCTGCCATGTGCCACTTTCAGGTCTCCTCTCTCACACTGCTGGTGTGTAGAATTTTTTGACATAGGGTGCTGGCAGATTACGGGCCTCCATTGCTGCTGCCAGGCCCCTAATCTGCCATAGGCCCCTATACCGCCTCCTCATGCTGCTGCCAAGTCCAGAGTGTCTCATGGGTCCCTGTACGGCCTCCCATTGCTGCTGTCTCCATAGCCACACTCTGCCATGTGCCACTTTCAGGTCTCCTCACACTGCTGGTGTGTTGAATTTTTTGACATAGGGTGCTGGCAGATTACGGGCCTACCCATAGCTGCTGCCAGGCCCTAATTGCATGCTATATACCTGCCTCCTTCAGGCACTCCTAATCTGCCATGGCCCCCCGTACCGACTCCTCATGCTGTGACGTTGCAACAAGGTGGAATTCAACCCTACATATGTTTAGACCGCCTTTACGAACAGCGAAAGGCCATCACCGATTTCCTGATGTTAAAAGCGGATAAAGGTACTCCCTGTGTAACTTAGATGTCAGCCATTGGCAGCTCATGCGTGACACCTGCGCTTGCTCAGGCCCTTTGAGGAGGCCACGCTATTCATGAGTCGCCAGGACTATGGGATGAACGACGTCATTCCTCTGTTGCACGTCCTGGAACAAATGCTGTTAACAATGGCTGGTCAGGGTGCGGTAGACGTGGCGCACAGATCTCAACGCCACATGACCCCTGTGGGGGCAGGACAGGAAGAAGAGGAGGAGGTAGAGGAGGACATTGGTGCTCAGGAATTATTGAGTGAAATGGGTGGTTTTTTTTTCCACTCAGCGGACAGGAGTGGAGGAGCAGGAGCATCTGGTAGAGGAGGAGGAGGAGGAGACAGAGGACCCAGACGCACCGTGGCAGTATGCTGTGGAGATGGAGGCAGGGAGTCCCTCGCATTCCTTGGCACAAATGGCCCATAGCATGCTCGGTTGCTTGCGTAGCGACAGCCGAATAATAACCATCAGACAGAGGGATGACTTTTGGCTGTCCACCTTGTTGGACCCTCGCTACCGTTCAAAAATGGTGGCCTTTTTCACACCTGCTGAGAGGGAGGCCAAAATAACGTACTATAAAAACCACCTATGTAGTCAGCTGGTCTCTGCCTGTCTGCGCCAACGTCCATCCTCAGACACTGTGGGCCCTGTGCGCTCGCGTTCCGCTGCCATGGCAGCAGGGGAGGGGGTGGGGTGGTAGGAGCAGTGGCAGCTCCACCAGCAGCGGCTGCCTCAGTCTGCAGTCGATGATGAGTAGCTTTCTTCACCAGCGCAGTGAGGAAACTACTAACCAGCCGCAGCAGCAGCAGCAGCAGCAGCAGCATCAGGTGGACCTGGAGCAGGACCTCAAACAACAGGCTTAGGCCTACTTGGACAGCACCCTGCCAACCGAGGTAGACAATCCCCTTGACTACTGGGCAACGAAACTTGACCTTTGGCCCCAACTAGCTGAATTTGCCCTTGAAAGGCTGTCATGCCCGGCCAGTAGCGTGGCGTGGCATCGGAGCGCGTGTTTAGTGCGGCAGGAGGTATTGCAACTCCGCGGAGGACACGACTGTCCACCCAAAGTGTGGAGAGACTGACGTTTGTGAAAATGAATCAGGCGTGGATTAGTCTGGATTTCAAACCACCAGTTCCTGACACAACTGACTAAATCCGCCATGAATCATGCCCCAAACATGTGCCACTTTCAGGTCTCCTCACACTGCTGGTGTGTTCCATTTTTTGTCATAGGGTGCTGGCAGATTACGGGCCTCCCATAGCTGCTGCCAGGCCCCTAATCTGCCATGGGCCCCTATACCGCCTCCTCATGCTGCTGCCAAGTCCAGAGTCTCTCATGGGTCCCTGTACGGCCTCCCATTGCTGCTGTCTCCATCGCCACACTCTGCCATGTGCCACTTTCAGGTCTCCTCACACTGCTGGTGTATTCCATTTTTTGTCATAGGGTGCTGGCAGATTACGGGCCTCCCATAGCTGCTGCCAGGCCCCTAATCTGCCATGGGCCCCTATACCGCCTCCTCATGCTGCTGCCAGGTCCAGAGTCTGTCATGGGTCCCTGTACGGCCTCCCATTGCTGCTGTCTCCATCGCCACACTCTGCCATGTGCCACTTTCAGGTCTCCTCACACTGCTGGTGGGTTCCATTTTTTGTCATAGGGTGCTGGCAGATTACGGGCCTCCCATAGCTGCTGCCAGGCCCCTAATCTGCCATGGGCCCCCGTACCGACTCCTCATGCTGCTGCCAGGCCCGTAATCTGTCATGGGGCCCCTGTTGTCGCTTGTTGGCATATTCCGCTCGTTCAGATGCTCCTTCTCCTGCTACTCCTCTTCACGGATTCCGTCAGCAGTCTTTCTTGGAATCCGTTTCCAAGAGACAACAGTTTGCGAGCACGCACCAGACGGTGCAGAAACTGAACGTCCTCCTGTCCAAGTTGCTGCTGCCAGGCTCGTAATCTGTCATGCGCCCCTGTACCGCCTCCTCATGCTGCTGCCAGGTCCAGAGTGTGTCATGGGCCCCCGTACCGACTCCAAATGCTGCTGCCAGGCCCGTAATCTGTCATGGGCCCCTGTACCGCCTCCCCATGCTGCTGCCAGGTCCAGATTGTGTCATGGGTCCCTGTACGGCCTCCCATTGCTGCTGCCAGGCCTGTAATCTGCCATGGGCCCCCGTACCGACTCCTCATGCTGCTGCCAGGCCCGTAATCTGCCATGGGCCCCTGTACCGCCTCCTCATGCTGCTGCCAGGTCCAGAGTGTGTCATGGGTCCCTGTACGGCCTCCCATTGCTGCTGTCTCTATCGCCACACTCTGCCATGTGCCACTTTCAGGTCTCCTCACACTGCTGGTGGTTTCCATTTTTGTCATAGGGTGCTGTATGGCCTCCCATTGCTGCTGCCTCCACCGCCACACTGTGGCTCCACACTCTGGTTTTGGCCCCGTGACTGGCCAAATGAGTGAAGTGTGCGGTGATTCTAAGATCGACGGCACTCATCTGCATGTCATACTGCCTGACAGTATTATTTCTCTTCCCCAGCAGACTCCAAGGGCATTTAAATTAAAGGTACAGTGTTCAGCACTAATATTAAGTCTCTCTGAAGCCTAGAAAACACCCTTTTTTAAGTTAAATTCACAGCGAATATATTCGACTCGAATCAAAATTTTTCCACGAATTCGCCGAATCCTGTAATGTACAGCGCTGAGCGAACTGTTGACGCTATATACTGTATAATAATAATATTGAAATAAGCAGGTTTACCTAACAATTTACTGGAAAGTGGCCACTACACATACAGTAGCACAGACCTAGCTATCTAGTACTGTGCATATAAAATATAAAATAATAGCAAAGACAGGGCAGAAATACTCTGTGACAATGATTTAAATATACACTTAGCAACTGCAATTAAACTATTAGTTCATAGGAATACTTGCAGTCCCTTCTGGCTTGGGATTTAGAAGCATTAACAGGATACATGTGGCTGAGACCTTCACTCTCTCCAGCTCCTCCTTAAGGGTCTCAAAGCCCAGCCAGCAAGGGTAGGAAATGATGTACATATTTATTCATAAAACTGAGATATTAGCAGCTAACAGTACAGTGCAGTAGATCCCTACCCTCTAGCATTGGCAGTACACAAACATAGGGACTATAGAAAAACTGCCCACCAATACAACAACACACAGTTCACTAACATTAAGCCAAGATAGCCAGTAAAGAGAAAGCTGCCAATCAACTTCCAGCTGAAAGAGAAAACAAAGATCTTAATTACATACTTTAGCAAATAAACTGTATATAGAATATGAATGCTATATCAGCATACAGTGCTCAATATAAATGAATACACAGCAACAGATTTCCTTTCAGAATCAAAATATTCTAAGGGACACTATTACAAAATACTCCCACAAATGCGGGCCATTGATTGCAAACAAGAATTGCTCATTTGCACATACAAAAAAGTATTTTTCCTAAAAAATTAATTCAATGCCATGTTGCAAAAATGAATACACCCCAATGAAAGTCTTAGGAGCAAAAATTTTAGACAACAAAATTCTAATTAACAAGAATTCAACTACAGGTGAGTCTAATTTTTATTAAACAGGTGTCCAGCAGACAGTGGATTTTAAAAGAGTGTTACTTAACAAAGAAAACCTCTTCCCATTTCATGCTGTCAGCAATGGCACCACATGGAAGAGAAATGTCACAAGGCCTGAGAAAGAAAATAATTTCTTTACACAAGAAAGGTGAATGCTACAAGAAGTTCAGCAAAGCTTTACTTATCAGCCAAAATACTATAGCAAATGTGATACAAAAATTTAACAAAGATGGAACTGCAACCATCTCACAGAGACGTCCAGGCCATCCATGGAAGTTAATACCTCAACAGGAGCGTCTTCTGATGAGAAGGGTTGAAGAAAATCGCCATGCAAGTTCACTGCAGTTAGCTAAAGAAGCAGAAAGCCAAACTGGGGTGATTGTTTCCCGTGACACAATACGGTGTACACTGCAGAGGAATGGCATGCATGGGTGTCATCCACGAAGGAAGCCTCTCCTAAAACCCATTCACAAAAAAGCCCACCTAGAATTTACCAGGACCCATGCTGAAAAATAAGAAGACTACTGGGATTCTGTACTCTGGAGTAATGAGACTAAGATAAATGTTTTTTGAAACTGATGGCTTCAAAACTGTATAATGTCTCAAAGGTGAGTAGTACAAAGAAAAATGCATGGTGCCCACAGTGAAACATGGTGGTGACAGTGTCCTACTGTGGGGCTGCATGAGTGCTGCTGGTGTCGGGGAGCTGCATTTCATTAATGGTATCATGAATTCACAGATGTACTGCCCTATATTGAAAGATAAGATAGTACCATCAGTCCATGCCCTTGGTTGTCATGCACTTTTCCAACATGACAATG